CAGCTGGGCTGTGCGTGTGTGACACCACCACCACGGTGAGGGTGGGTCTGGGCTTCTATGACATCACTGCTGGGTGGGCTGGGCCTGTATGACATCACCACCATGGTAAGGATGGTGCCAGGCCAGTATGACATCATTGCCATGGTGCTGGCAGGGCCAGGCCTGTAGGATGTCACCGCCATGGGGCCAGCAGGGCTGGGCCTGTATGACAGCACTGCCATGGTGATGCTGGGTGGCCTGGGCCTGTATGACATCACCACGGCGGTGCCTGTATGATGTCACCACCACGGTGCGCGTTACATCACTCCTGCAGCACCTGATGATCCCTGGCTTCACCGCTGCTCCGTGTGTGGCTGAGCCTTTCTGGAGCCTCTGAGCTCCAGCCCTGTGTGAGGACGCACAGCACAGTCCAGCCGTGCCCCTGCTTGGGCAGAATTTATACCTTAGAGAAACATTGTAAAAGGCCAGGACCAAGATAGGCCTGATGCCAAATCCAGGCTGATGCCGACCAGGGCGAAAGCACTGGCTGGGAAGGAAAAGCCGGAGCAGAAGCAGCAGGATGGAAGTGACAGCCCCCAGCAACATCACCAGGCTGATGCACAGCTGCTGTGGCAGCACGTTGGAAGGCTGTAAAAATCCCTAAAACAGCTGTTGTGCCCTCCTGCAGTGTGGGGTCATGGGAGGTAGAGTGTCTGGTTTAATTTTTATCCAAATAAAATGATGTGCTGCACCAGCGTTACTCCAGAGCACGTTTCCGACTGGTGTTCTTCTTCTGACACAAGGTTCAGGGCAAACACTTATTTGGGGCACAGCAGCTGTGTCAGACTCTGCTGAGGCTGCCCACAGTCAGCATGGTGTGCAGAACACTCTGTGGTTACAGGGTGTTCCATCCTGGGAATGGGGCTCTGGCAGGGGATTTTTTCATGTCATGTGCATCTTTTAAACACAGACTTTCAGGGGTTCCTGGCCAAAGCACCTGCTTTTACTCAGATTTAAAGAAGGATGCTTGTTTATGGAAATCAATTAAATTGTAGTTTCTTAAATGAAACCAAAGTTTTTGTTTGAAAAGGCAAGAGAGGTGAGGCACCTACAGAAACCACTTGTACCAGCAGTAGGTTTAGGAAACAGGCAGGAATTGATCCTGCAAAACGTGACTTGTGTTTAAAAGCAGTGCACATAACAAGATGAGGGCATCTTGGAGCCTTTGCTGTTCTTCCCACTGTTAATTCCAGCGAGGCATTGTGCCTGGCATCCAGAGAGTGCTCTGTGTGACATGCATTTAAAGCATGGCAGGTTTTTAGTGCCAAAACATCTTAACTCATCTTCCTCAAAGCTAATGAAATCGGGATTCAAAAACCTATAATTCATCTTAAAGGGGCACGACATTTGAAATCCCAGCTCGTAGTAAAGCTACAAGGATGATTTTTGTTGTTGTCTTTTGTGGTTTTTTTACCTGATTTGTGGGAATAGAAAATGTACTAACAAGAAATTCTAAGCCCTGTCTCCTTCTGAACTAATGTGCTGCTGAGGGAATGGGGCAGGAGGGCTGCTGTTGAAGCAGAATGTTTCAGATTTATTCTGAGGCGAGAGACTGGACTCCGGTGAGTACTAAATAACTTTGTAAACATTAATAAAGCTGCATTTATTGCAGCAGTGTTCTTTGTGAGCTGCCACTTCATACTGACTTTTTAGAAACTTTATGTCATTTTAGCAGCAGTACCATGAGGTTGCTTTAATGCCCTTATTTATTGCTAAATGTTTCCCAGGAATTTATTACAGTGGTAAAAAAGAAGCAGCGTTCATTTTAAGTGCACATTGCAAGTGTTCTGTTCCAAGTCCCTGATTATTTTGATGCTGTTTCCCTGCCATTCTATGAAAACAGATACTGTGCACTTTAAGGATCTCTTTGGATAGGCTTCTGGTTCAGTTTCTGTGGAATATCCACAACTCTGTTCTAAGGGCAAAAAGGGAAAGCTTGCACATTTCTCATATTGCAGTGTATCAGGCCAGAAACTGTGTTAGTAGATGATAGAGCTGGATTACATCTAAGAACTAATTTACAGCTGGCAAAACTGCATGAAATAATTCTTTAACTTTTTGCACTTCAGGGTTTACTTGATGCTTGGTATATTCTTGCTTATATGTTTATATTCAGCCAGTTAATATGCTTTAAATATTTATCTGGTCAGATATTTCAAATGAGATGTTTCCAAGCCAGAACTTCTCGTCATGGCCGGTTCTAATTGGCCAAATTTTTGTGTTTGCATTTAGATTTCGTGTTGGTTTTGTGTTGTTTACGAGGACTTGGACACACCAGGTTCTATTTCCAGTTTGATTTTGCCAGTGCCATATAAGCAGAGTTCTATCTTTTTTTGTATTTCAATACATGTTCTTAAAATAATATATGTCTTTTCCTCCAGTCATTTCTGGGATTTTTAACCCTGTTCTCACCTGAACATAGAAGTTTTCTTATGGAAGTGACAAACATTGCTATTTTTCTAGCATTCCTTAAAACTTACCTGGCAAAGGTAACTGCAAAATCATGATTTGTCTTTATTTCTGCCACTTTGCCAAATGTGAATGACAGTGCTATGGTTCATTGTGTTCCTTCTCTGGAGTCTGTAAAAGTCCACGTCTGATTTGTAGAAAAAAAACCCATATTTTGGTTTCCTTCTTAAGTTATTTTTCTTGCTGTCAGTGTGCAAACTCTGATATTGAATGATTTTTTTTTAGATATGCTAACAGCAACAGTCAGCACTCTTAGTAAGATTAGATCCTGTGTGGAAGGACATTCGGGGGGGGTGGGGCTGTAAGTGCTCTAACAGTGCTGGTAATTTTGTCTCTGATCCAGGGATCCCTTTCACAGATGCACTTCAACTGAAGTTATCTGTGGAGAGAATAAAAGTTCAGATTCCAATCTCCCTGAGCAAAAAGTAATGATATCATTCTAAATTCTGAAAATGCAATTCAGCAGAGGTAGAACACAGCATGGATGTACAAAATCTGCCTTCCTGTTACTGTACTTTCTTCTCTTTGTTTCACTTTTAGAACCGTTGATAAGTAGGTCTTGTCTTGAACAGGAGTCTGTAATATATGAAACCTTCTGTTGTTGTCCTTCCTGGTGGGAAATTCATTGGCTTCCTCTTTATAGAGAGTCAAAAGCATAACTGACAAATGTGTCCTACGTCAGGTAGGCTCTGCTGGTGAGAAGCTGCTGTTTGATCCTTGGGGAAACCTTCCAGGGCCCTGAGGGTCCCACAGCGCAGAACTCGGAGCTCGCTGTCACCAAACCTGCCTTTCTGCAGGCTGTCACTGATGATGGAAACGTGGATTTTCTGAGCTCTCCTGATTGATGCAACATCAGATCGATGTAATCAGTGCCTGTGAGGTCTTGTACACATCTCAGATATTGTACACAGCCCCCTTGTTTGCAGGGGTTTTGTAGGCTGGGCACGGGGCTTGTGCAGTCTGTGGGGGCCCAGGCTGTGAGCAGAGGTGCTGGAGGTGGCTGGCTGTGGCTGTCCTGTGTGTGTGAGGGGACAGCAGGCCTGAGGGATCAGCAGAGTTGTTGGCAGAGGGCCAGCATTGCCCAAACTGCTTTGCTGGCCTCCCCTACCGTGCCAGTTACAGCTGTCCCCACAGTCCACGATCTGAGCTGAGCCACCCCTTGTGTCAGAGGGACAAGGAGCACAAGGGGAGCAGAGCTGTGAGGTGTAAGCTGCAGTGCAGGCTGGGGGATGGTGAGGCCTGTGACCGTGCAGTCTTGTTTCAGGGATTTCAATTTTGCCGACCTGGGAGGCGTGCCAGGGGCTCAGCAGCCTGAGCACTGCCCACTGCAGCGTTTGTAGTCAGGGTGCTCATCTCAAAGGAGGACACACACTCTTCCTCTCTGACAAGAGGCACCAGCTCCACCTTCTCCTGTGCCAGGTGAAGCCTCTCTGAATTCCCAGCAGTCATGTGGCTGAGTAAGGATCAGCCTTACTGCCAGAAACATGGGTGCAGTCCTGCCGTGTCACTCCCTGCTGCTGCTCTCGTGCCTGCCCAGGGACAGGCCAGCCCGCTCTGTGTGGCACCGGCTCTGCCAGCGCTCAAGCTCACTGCTGCTGCAATGCTGTGCAGAGCTGCTGGACAGGCCTGGTCTCAGGGAAGGATTCCTCATCGTGTGAGCACTGCTGGTGCAAGGGGGCAGAAGGCAGGTGAGATTTGGAGACCCTTGAATGGAAGCATCTCACCCTCGGGTTCAGGCTCCAGAGAGGGTCATGAGTCCTGTCTACCCTTCCCAATCTTGAGGACACTGTCTGCCTCCATTCGTTGTCGTCACACAGTGCCTCAGCTCTGTACTAGTGCTGAAACAGTTGAACTGTCTCAACAAATGAGTGCTACCCTGGGATGGCAAAATGGCTTTTTGTGCTAGGTGAAGTATTAAGATGCTGTCTCTTGTATGCCTGACTCTACCTGAGTGTCCCCTTGCAGAGCTTGCGGGAGACAGGTGAGAGTAGCAAGATGGCTCCTGTCCAAAGACACATCATTTTGTGCATGAAATCATTATAAAATGGGGAATGAGGTAAAAACAATGACAACTGTGAGCATCTTTGTCATGAGTCTGTTACTGTGGATGTTGCTGGCCAGGAATACCCAGCTCACAGGTGTTGCTGAGCTGGACAGCAGGTGCAGACTGAAAAAGGCAGGAGCATAGGCTTTGGGGAGGTTGCCCTAGGTTTAGTTTAGGCTTTGTAAGGGCTCACCACTGCAAGCCCCCGGATGACTCCTGCGGAGGTGCCTTGTGCTCCTTTGTCCTTGCAGATGCACCTGCCAGTGTGGACAGCCAGATGGAACATGGTGGTGGTGACAACCTTGGCCAGCCACAGTGACACCAGGGAGGAGGTGAAGGGTCGATGCCCAACAAGAAACCCAGGGCCATGAGCTATAGCAGTGCTTCAGGCTGCATCCTCCAGCCTCCCGCTCTGACGATGCAGGTAAGCCTGGCACAAAAGGACACGTTTTTCACCAGATACTGAAACCACATTTTATTTTCGTCACTTCCACACACTCAGGAGGCTGTGCCTGGTCTGTGGTCACACTGGGCCAATCCCCCATCCCTTCTGATTGAGCCTGGACACCTTTCCAAGGCACATCCCAGGCCCAGGAGCTGACCCCAGCCCAGAAGCCTCATACGCTGTTGCTTTCAGTTCTGCAGGCTGCCAAAAGCAGGGAGGATTGATCAACAAGAGGAAAGCCTGGGCTGTTAGATGGTTATGCTTTTAGATGGTTATGCTTTGCCTTGCAAGCCAAGGGTGTCTCAATTTGCCAAGAAATGGGTGGGCTCTACTGAGCCCCTGTGAGGGGACAGGAGCTGGGTTTCCTGGGTTAATGCCGTGCACAGAGCCCACAGGAATCACTGGGAGCCTTCCTGTTCAGGCCAATGGGCTCAAACCAGGCTTCCATAACCAGCCCCTCTGTGTCACCTCCTCCTTCAGCCCTTAAATTTCCCTTATTCCTTTGCAAGCAAGCTTGGATCACAGCATCTGCCTGCTTCCAGCCCTGTGCACATTCCTGGCTTACAACAAGCAGGGAAGGAGCTTGAGACAAGGCACTCACACGCTGCCTCCAGCATGGTGGGCACTGGCCGATAGGCTTTCCCGAGCTGTGCAGGTGTTTCTTTGTTTCACAAAGCTGCAGAACTTAATAAGCTGCTGAAGTCTAGCACAAGCTGAACTCTTAAGGAGCCTGTAGTCACACCCGCTCCTTTTCCCAGAGGAGTGATGCTGCCTTGCAACTCTCCAGCATGAGCAGAAGGGGCTCGCCTGCTTTCCACCAGCTCACTCGTGCTCAAAGAACTCGTGGCAAGCGGCAGTGACCATGGCAATGAAGGCTACAAACTCCTGGAAGTCGCACTCTGCGTCCCCATCGCTGTCCAGTGCCTCCATGACTTTGTCCACAGTCTCCTGGTCTTTGATTTCCTGAAGTGATAGAAACAGGCAGCCAAAGCTGGGGAGGACCAGAGTGGGACCCAGACAGTAACATGTCCCTTCTCTGGTGCTCTCGTGGCTGAATCTGTGTTCAGACACATTGTTTCCAGTCTGAGTTGGGGCACTGCCCTGTGTCTCTGGGAATTGCAGCCACAGCTGTGCTGCTGGGAAGGGACATCTTGAGCCCCTTGGGGCGAGGCTGTCTCCCCATCTCAGGGAAGGAAATTTCCCTAGTATCCAACCCACACCCCAGCCTGCCATGCAGGCTGTTGCACTTGTCCTTCTGCTCTGCAGAGCTGAAGCAAAAGATTTAATGCCCTGATGTGTGGATAAACCACTTCCCCTGCTCTTGCTTTCCATGGGAGACAGAGTTAGTGGAGTGCGGAGGCTGCTTAATGCCACCTGAGCCCAGCCAGGCGAGCTGTGAGGAGGGCAATACTTACACTGAGGAAATGGGTCAGCTCATTGTTAATGAGCTCCTTCAGTTCTGATTTCTTCAGCTTGTGCTTGTCTCCCTCCTTCCCGGAGTACTGGTGGAAGGCATCGATGATGGCGATCATGCCCTTCTCCAGCTCAGACATGGTAATGGCGTGGCCCTGAGGTCAGAGGGGACAATCAGGACATTAACCTGGGCAAGCTCCAGCAATTCCTTTTGCTTTGGAAGCACAGCCACCTCGATCAGCAAAACCGGACCCCGTGCTTAAAGCATTCTGCTGGGAAGGACTGACAGCAGCTCTGGCTTCAGGGGAAAAGCTTCTGAGAGACTGTGACTCTGCTTTCAGGGGCTCTCGAGAAACACAGAGCCACAGCACAAGGAGGGGGGCAGGTAAGGGTTCATTCTGCTCACAGAGCTTCAGAACAGTTTTGCTGTCCCTTCTGTCACAGGCAGCCTCGCCTATGCCTTTGCCTGCAGGCCTGTCTCCAGCCGAGCAGTCAGGGGAACCAGGCAGGAGCCAGTTTTGATGAGTGCCAGCAGGATGAAATAAGCACCCCTCTAGCCTCCCCCCTCCCTCACTTGATCTGGGGATCCTCCTGGGAATGATAATCATTGGGATCGCAGCGTTTCCTGCAGATTTCACAAAGAGACAAACCAAAACCGGAGAGATACAAAACCACCTTCCCAGAAGCTGGGGAAAGAAACTAATGGCACTCTGTTCGTTCATACCCCACAGGTAAAATGTCTCCTGCCCTGTGACCTGGCTCCTGTTTCTCCACCACAAGGCACTGAATCTCATCCCACCGCCTTATTCTCCAGCCGACATCCTCCCCCATGCAGCAGTCAGTGTCCAAACAGAAAGACTGTTTCCAGTCAGGTGGGAAATATTCCCGAATCACTTCATGCGTGCATTCTAAGAGCCCTTTGCATGCTCACGGCCTGCCCGCTTCCCTGTCCGCAAGGCTGAGGAGAGTTTCGGCTCCCCACCGGCTCCGCAGCGCTCGGCGCCCCGGCGCTGCCCCCGCCCCGCATCCCCCGGCCCCTCTCACCTCCCTGCTGCCGGCGGGGCTGTGGCTCAGCGATGCGGCGAGGCCGGGCGCCCCAGGGACTCGGTGCCTTCTTATGCCGGAGGCGGGGAGCCCCTGGCGCCAATGGCAGGCGAAGGCGGGGGTGTCCAGGCCGGGCTCCGGGCCCGCAGCGCTGCCCGCAGCGGCGCTGACCCGCTGCCAGCCCACGGCCGCCCGTGTGGGAGCCGCTGTGGCCCTTTGTCCCTTCACTGTGCACCCCTGAGACTCGCCTGACCGCGTCTTCCCTGCCCCCTCCCCGTGCCTTTGCGGGGCAATCACGACTGTATCGGGCTCTCAGTGCTCGAAGGACAGGACTGGCGGCAGCAGCCGCTCCTCCCGGGTGCCTGCCGGGGAAAGAGCGCCGGGTCCGCGGTGTGCCTGCCATACCCCGGCGAAAAGCTGCGTGGAGGGGCCGTGGGTTCTCACACGGCTGTCACTTGGCCAGTGACTGTGACACCACCCTTGTGACTGGGGGGGCAGGAATCTCCTACCTTCATGTACCTGCTGTCCGTGTCACAGCCACGCGGGGGGCGTTGCTCCCAGATCCCCTGCCAGCCCCAGCAGCCACCGTTAACCGGCATTATGTGCACTTCTGTCTAAAGCCAAGAGCTACAAGTTTCCTTTCCACCAGAGATCCCCCTTTCAGGCTTGTGCACAGACCCGATGGAGGGGACGCTGTGTGGGGACTGGCAGGCAGCCCAGCAGGGAAGGAGGATGTGGAGGGGAGCAGGTGACAAACAGCAAGAGCAGCAAGCAGCATCTTTCACCCAGACTGTTCCCGGTGGCACAGGACAAGCAAATGGTTAATAAACACAGAGAACATGCTGAAGAAAGCAAGTTTCACTGTGTTTCATTGCAAAGTCATGCTCTTTCCCAGGAATAAGATGGTATGAGCCAAAGTTGAAGCTGTCTGATGTTACTGTTGTGGCATGTTGCCATTTACACCTTTTTCAGTGCAGCACAGGATCAGTAACTGCTTTATGTCAGAGGCCTTTGTTGGATTTCAGGCTCAGTGTGACTCAGAACGTGGCACTCCTGCTAACCAAGAAGACAGGTGAGCAGTGCCCATGATGAAGAGCCCATTTTGTTGCCACACTCAGCTCCTGCAGAGAAATGTGGAAAGGGTAAGAGCCTTATACATATGCTTGTGGGCGGGATGAAGGTCTGGACCTCTTTAAAAAAAAAGTGCCTTTGAAGAGGCAAGACCAGGTTGCTGGACAGACACATTTCCTGGCAGTTCCTGCATTCCCCAAATCTACTGAGACACCATCTACCATGTTACTTAAAAACTTTTTCACGTACTGGTGTGAAAGAAACATTGATCATTTCATTACCTCAGCTCATGGAAGCTTTTGTAACAGGTTCAAACACTGGTTTGGGGAAAAATAATTTCCCTAGCATTATGTCTGAGTATGTTGACTCTAAATATTTACCTGGCCCCTGAAATTCTTGCATTTATGGCATTGTAAACTACACCAGTTATCTGTGCTCTGATTGGACTGGCAGGGACAGCAGGGATGCTTTTAGGCAGTGGTGTTTCTAGTGCAGAGGTAGTTTGTCAACAATCTTGCACTATTTGATTTTTTCCATGGATATTTGCATTCGTGTAAGAGCTGGCTATAAATGGGGCTCTCTGTCAGCAGGAAAGAAACAGTATTTTTCTCTGCTGATGGCAATTTGATCTGGTAGATCTCTTAGCTCAGTCCTTAGCCAAGAAATACATTAAAGCACATAATTTCTAGTCAGAGATGAGGTCCTAGCTCAGCCTCTTTAAACCATTTTCTGATGTCATTCTGGAAAGTGACCTTTTATTAAAATGTAACAGAAAAATTAGCATTTGACAGATCAAAACTTGAACAGTCTTGAAATATCCTTTCCTGATGATTCTTACTGTCCATTTCACCCCCAAATCATTCTGACTTCTGTATTTTACAGGCATGGTCTGGAATGATCTGCTGATAAGGTGGGAAGGAGCAGCAGGATCAGGTGGGAACACCAAAACCCTTGACCCTTGCCTGACTCTGCTAATGAGCAGCTCCAAGCAACTTCCCTGATCCTTGTCCAGGCTCATATCCTGGCAAACACTGGTCTCCTGGGTCATCCCTGACCCAGCCAGTGACAGCCCAGGAGGTCTGGGCATGGGTGGGGGGCTGCGAGCTGGCTGTGCTTTCAGTGCTCTCCAAAGAGCTGCTCCTGTTATTTTAAAATTCATGTCCTGATCTTTGATCAGGAGAGCGTGACCTTGGGGCTCCTTTCCTCAGAGTCAGTGCTTCCTGGCCAGCACTTTGAGCTGATGTGTTTAAAGAAACAAGGGGGTTTTACAGCGCCCAAGGCCGAGCAAAACACTTCAGCCCTCTGCCTGTCTCCCTCTCTGCGGTAAAACACAATGTGGGCTCTTCATACCAGGCTCAGGGAGACAAGCCAGCCTATTTCTTTGTCTCTCTGGTGTGTGTGGCGCCAGGCTCTGCCAGACCACGAGACAAAGGCCAGCAGTCATTGAACTGGGAGAAAAAAAGCAATGAAAGCAGAGGAATTTGGGTGGGAGGGTGAAGAAGCTGCTTCTGCCTCTGCAGCGCTCACAGAGAGCAGCACTGCAGGGAGCAGGTTCCCCAGCTCTGTCCATGGGCACTGAGTCCATGTCTGAAGCTACAAACCCAGCAGCCAGAGGTGAGCTTGTTTCTGGCTGAGTTCAGCTGAGGGCCAGACATAGAAAAACTTGTATAAAAATAATGCTAAGGTAACAGCAGTTTGGCAATTATTAAAAATTTTGGAGGCAGGCAGGTTCTATAAAGACAGAAAAATAAATCCAAGTGGTTCATCTCCCACCACAGCCTTTAGACAAACATTACCGTAAATTATCTAGAGATTTTGGCATCTGCAAGGAAGTGGAGATACATGAAGCTCATCTCAGCAGATTCATTACGACAATTCTTTTTGTCTTAAACCAAAAATAAGCCTAGTTTATAAAATAAATACCAAATTAATTCTTTAATTCACAAATAAAATTACTGCATCCTTTTCAAAAATCCCTGAGGTTATGCTGGACATGAGTGAAGAGCTATTTGCTAGCAGAGAAGCAATTTAAATTCGACTTGTAGTGTGCATTATATACTATAAGTATTAAGTATTATAAGTAGTAAGAGATAGGCATGTTTCTGTCTTGGGATGCTGATGGGTGCCACACTTGGGAGGAGCTCTTTCATCCCTGGGCCCCCTGAGGTCCCTGGGGTGGCTGTGCCAGGCAAGGCACGGACATGGAGGGGGTTTTCCACCAGACCATTATAAATTCACACCCTCACACTCACACAAATTCCCAGCCCTTTCAACACAGCAGCAGCAAGTACAGCATCTCTGGGATTTACACCCCTGTGTGCCTGATGGCGTTTGTAGCTCCTTTTGGGGAGCCTGCCCGAGCCGAGGGGCTTTGAAGGGCTGAAACATGAACTGGGCACCCGGGTTTGTTGTTGCCATTAATGATGGAAACCACAGGCTGGGCTTTGGGGGGGCACGGAGGTTGAGACAGTCGCTCCGGGGGTTGGCGCTGTCCCCCAAAGGGACGGGAGGGCTGTCGGGGTGTGCAGCCTTGGGCAAGGAGCGCGGTCCCTGTGGCCGGGTCAGACGTTCGGGACGCGGGATTCCGCCCCCAGCTCTCGGCCGGGAATGACGGACGCGGGGCGGGAGGAGCCGTGAGGGGCCGGCCGGGGGCGGGGCTTCGGCCCGGCCTCGCGCCCCCATTGGCTGCCGCCCGTGAGGCGATGTGGGACCAGGTGGCCCCGGCGCGGCCCCGGCGGCGGGAGCGGGATCGGGATCGGGACCGGGATCGGGAGCGGTGATGGCAACGGGCAGCGGGTGGGTCCCGGCGGTGGGATCGGGATGGGGCGCGACGGTGGCGGCGGGCAGCGCGGTGCCATGGGGTGGAGCGCGGTGGCGGCCGCGGCTCAGGATGCCCGTGTCTCCCAGGGCGGTTCGGCGGCGGGGCGGCCCTCGGCGCTCGGCGGCGGTCACGGAGCTGCCGGCCTGGCGGCTGCGCTGCGAGGGCGGGCGGCAGCGCTGGCGCTACCTGGGCGATGGCGATGGCGATGTCGGAGAGCCGCGGGCGCAGACGGCGCTGGAGCAGCACAGCCTCGGGCTGGACACGGTGCGGGGGGCCCGGGCCGGGGCGGGGGGACCGCTCCCGGGGCGCCCCGCTGAGGTGCCGCTGTCTCCCCGCAGGGCGCGGCGCTGCGGGCGCTGCCGGCGGCCGGCTCGGCCCGGGAGGCGGCCCGCAAGGGGATGCGTTTCTACGCGGCCCTGCAGGCCGAGGATGGGCACTGGGCGGGCGACTACGGCGGGCCGCTGTTCCTGCTGCCAGGTAGGCCTGGGGCACCTGCCCGGGGGTGGGTGTGTAGGATTCGACTCTGTACAGTGCCGGCCCGTCTGGTCCTCCAGGTCTCCTCATCACCTGCCACACGGCCAAAATCCAGCTGCCGGATGGGTTCCGGAAGGAGATGATACGCTACCTGCGCTCTGTGCAGCTCCCAGACGGAGGCTGGGGCTTGTGAGTAGCAAAGATGCTTCTTTGAGGGTTGGCCTCTCGAAGGCCCAGCACTTGGAGCTGCTATCGGATCTGCCCAGGCTCAGGGAGAGGGGCTCGGGACCTGTGATAGCTCTGGGTGGTTGGACTTGGTTGTGCAGCACTTCAGGTACTCTGTTTGTCACAGAGATGACCAGAACAATCAAGTCTGGCCATATCTCCTCTGTGTCACTATATTCCAAAGCATCATGTGCGACTGGGTAGTGCA